TCATTATGGCGCCGGATCCCAGGGTCTATTTAAACCCATCCCTCCGCCTTTAGGGGCCCCATTCCGCTCGAGAGTTCTATCGGTATCCGCCCTTGCTTCGAGAGTCTCCATTCTCTTGGCGTCTTCTTGGGCCATAGGCGTCCTTCGAGTCGTCCCTGTCCTCGCCCCTCCGCATCCTTCAGAGCGATCTAGGTTAGTCCCAGAATCTTCGCTCTTCTCTCTGCCGCTTAGGGGCCTTTTCTTCACCATTTTCTTCTGTCGCCTTCCTCTGAGTTGGTCTCCTGTGACCTCTCGTCCTTTGTCCTGTCTGTTTTCTTCGGGATCTTTAGAGTCTTCATTCGAAGTTATTTGAAATGTCTTCCGGCTCTTCCGCTTCCAGCGGTTTCGGGAGTTCTTCCGCCTCAACCCCCCAAGTTCCTCGTTTTGTAGATGAACCCGCATCTGGGGCTGGGCTTCGTCCGATTTTTGCGTCGGGCACCATTCCATGCTCCCTGACTCCAGATGAACTCCTTCTGATAAGGGTTCAGTATGGAGTTCCTCCGGAGTATGACCTGGAGCTGCCTGACCCCTCCGATCGGGCTAGCACTCCCCCATCCGATCGTTTTTGCCTGTATCAGGAGGCGTTCCGTGCCGGACTCCAGCTTCCGCTTCCGTCCTTTGTTGTCGTCCTCTTCCGCTTCTTAGATATCTCTTTGGCTTCAGTTGCTCCGAATTCTTTTAGATTTTTGATAGGGTTTCTCTCCCTTTGCCACGTAGTCGAGGTCCAGCCGTCTCTCTCTCTGTTTAGGCATTTCTATACCTTCAACCGTCATCCTTCGGTGAAGGACTGGTGGTATTTCTTCCCTCAGTTCGGCAAGAAGAGGTTGCTGAAAGGTGCCCCCTCTTCAATCCACAACTGGAAGAAAAAATACCTCTTCGTCAACTACCCGACCTTGAGGCTGGGCTTGCCCCCTTGAGGCTCTCTGAGGGATTCTGTCCGTCGAGCCTCTAGCCTGGGGGAGGACGACCTCCAGGCTGCCCGGAAGCTTCTTGACTACTCCGCTCCTTCCCTTCCCAACCTTCTGAGGGAACAATTTTTGTTCAACATCGGCCTGAGCCCCCAGGATCCTGCGAGTACTCCATCTTTTCCTTTCTCTTCTCTTCTTCCATCCTTCTTCTTTTTCTTTCTTTTTCTTCTCTTTTCTCTTTTTCTTCTCTTTCTTTTTCTTTTCTCTTCTTTTTTTTTTGCGTGCTACTCCTTCCTTTTTCACCCCATTATTGACTTCTGATTTTTGATTGATTGATTTTTTTTTTAAGGAATGAACGTCGAAGCAGTACGGATGCTTGCCAGGGGCCTCAAGGCCCACAAAAGAAAGGGTGCCACGGCCTCCGGATCAGCAAAGAGGGCCAGGGCGGAGGAGACGAGCTTGGCCGTGCCTGTCCAGGCGGCTCCAGTGATCGACGTTCCTTCGGACGCCGAACCAACGGCCCCCCGGGCCTCTTCAAGGAGTCCACCGACTGGGGCCCTCGTTCCGGGGATCCGCTCCACGGAGGCACCCGTAGTCGAGAGGGGAAGGAGAAGGAAGTCGGTGGCCCATAGGGTGAGTGGCTACCGGGCCACCGCTGATGAGTCCCTCGGCTCCGAAGAAGAGCCGGAGAACCCCTTCAATGACAAGGACCTGATCAAGCGGTTGATCGATGGCTGCATTCTGCCTGAGGTCGTCGAGAGGATCGATCGCGCCGATCCTGAGCAGCGGGTTTGGGACTCCCTGGGGTCCTTTCTCGAGGTAAACAAATCTTCATTTAATTGATTTTTCGACCCCTGTTCTGATCCCCTAGCCGCCCTTACAGATCGGGCACCAACTCCTTGCCAACATCGAGGCGACGAACCGGGTGAGGAGGGACGCCATCCAGGCGGAGGAGCGTCGCTGGGCCGAAGTCACCCGCCTCAAGGAAAAGGCCGCTGAAGTAGTTGCCCTCCAAGAGGCCCTGGAGAAAGAGAAGCAGGCTCGGGAGGAGGAGAAACAGACCTTGGAGGAGACGGTGAGAACGGCGGAGGCCGGGGTCGCCAATTTGATGGAGCAGATTCCTATCTTGGTCTCGGAGGCCAGGGGTCTTGCGGTAGAGGAGTTCAAGGCCTCTGCGGAGATGAGAGACCTGAACGTCCGGTTTGGCCAGGAAGCCTTCATCAAGGGGTTCGAGCTCTGCCAGGAGAAGGTGGCCAGGAAATTTCCCGAGCTCGACCTCAGCTTCTTGGGCGAGGAGTCTGAAGATGAGGCCGGGCCTTCTTCTACCGCTACTGCTGCCGCAGCCCCCCTTCCAGAGACACCGAGCTCCCCAACTCCCGCTTCTGAGGTCTGAGACCTCCGACCTTGTAGCTTTCTTTTACTGCAATTTTTTTCTTTCTTTTTGTCTTCAAGAATCATTCAATCAATAAAGTTGAATTTCTCACCATGGATGGCTTCTCTTCTCCCCCTTCCCCCTTTTTATTTTCTTTCTGCAATGAGACGTGCCTTGACGCTTCTGTCTCTTGATGGCAGTGTCCTGCCAAGGCACTTCCCCTGCCCCAGGGGATCCCGCTGAAGTCCACGATCCAGCGGCTGAAGAAGGAGGTTCTTCATGCGACGAAAAGGTCGAAGAAGATGGAAGGTGAGCTTCGTAGGTTAAGGGAGGGTTACTCTGAAGCCACCTCGGAGGCCACCCACTTTCGGAATCTCCATGTGAAGGGGATCATGGAGTATAGCCGGAGGAAGGCGGACTTCGCGAAGGAGCTTGATGAACACAAGAAGAGTACCAGTGATCGAATTTGAGCTCAAGCTGTCAAGATCAGCTCTCTCAGGGTGGAACTGTCAACTGCGCAGGAGAGGATTGGCCAGCTGGAAGGGAGTTCGTCCCGGCTCTTGGCTCGGGCCGACGGCGATCGGGAGTGGTCGAAGAAGGTCTCCGACCTTCAGCAGCAGCTTCAGGATGCCGAGGTGAGCTACGACGTGCATCGAATCGGTTGGCGCAGGCAGGTGGATGAATATAAAGGGAGACTCAAGGTGACGGCCGACGAAGTCACCCGTCTTCAGAGGCAGCTGGCTGACAAGGCTCAGCTTACTTCTGCTCAGGATTCTAATGAACTCCAGTCTCTAAGATGAACCATCGAAGGGCTTTCTGTCGCCCTCAGGGAAAGGACGGCTGAGCTGCAGCAATTGAAGATCCAACTGGCATACGAGCAGCAGGCCGTCATGGATGCGGAGGCAGAATCTGAGGTCCTGAGAAAGAGGCATCGAGAGGCGGAGATCGAAAGCCAGCGACTTCGTCGGGCGCTCCAGGACGCGCTGCTGAAAAAGGGAGAGCTAGAAGAAGAAGTTGAGAATCTGAGGCAGTCCTGGATAAGGGGTGGAGTAGATAATTCTAGGTCGAAAGGAGCAGATCTTTCCTAGGGCTCTTCTTGGCCTTCTGTCTTTTCATGTATACATTTTTCCTTTTATTGTTTTGTCTCGCTTTTGTCATTTTGCTTTTCTTCCTTTGGCCTTCTGGGCTTCGTGATGTATATTTCATAAATGGAATGAAAAGAAAATTTTGTGTTACCTCATCCATATATTGTATTAAATTATCGTCTGTCGAACTTCTCTTGTCGTTCGACTTGTCCGACGTTGACGTCGTTTGGAGGTGCCCAGTCATCGATACGCTGGTTTGCTTTCCTCATCGTTCATGGCCGTAGGCTCAAGCTTGGTGGTCCGAACTCCGCGTTACCTCGGAGATGTTGCTGTTTTCTTGACCTGTGTCGAGAGTCTTCTTAGAGGCCGGGGGTATTTGGTAGGAACTTCCCGTCTTTGTTGAGATGAGGTTTCTTAGGTTCTTTGGTGTGGTTTGTCCTTCATCTGTTTCCGACGTAGTTCGTCGCTTTTTCTTTTTTATTTTCCTCCTCTTTTCGGAGTGAGGGCCCTCCCCTTGCTTTTTGCGAGGTTGCGTAGAAGTGTGAAGGTGCCGCTGAGGGGCCTTTCCCCTTCATCCGATCTTGTTGGGCGGTCGGGTTTCGTCACCGTCAGGACGAGGTTCTCCTTCCGTTCCTGACGTAGTCGATTTCAGCTCAGGTTAGGATGAGGTTCTCCTCCTGTTTCCAACGGGGCTGCGGGGGCACATAAGGGCCATCGCAAGGGTCTCTCTCCCCATCCGGTCTAAAAAAATCGGGCCTTCGACTTTGCTCATGTCAGGACGAGGTTCTCCTCCTATTCCTGACATGGCTGTGGGGGCGCATTAGGATGTTTTAAGGCCTCTCCCCCCATCTGATCTAAAAGAACCGGGCCTTTGACTTTGCTCATGTCAGGACGAGGTTCTCCTCATGTTCCTGACATGGCTGTGGGGGCGCATTCGGGCGTTGTAAGGCCTCTCCCCCCATCCGGTCTAAAAGAACCGGGCCTTTGACTTTGCTCGTGCCAGGACGAGGTTCTCCTCCTGTTCCTGACATGGCTGTGGGGGCGCATTAGGGTGTTGTAAGGCCTCTCCCCCCATCCGATCTAAAAGAACCGGGCCTTCGACCTTGCTCATGCCAGGACGAGGTTCTCCTCCTGTTCCTGACATGGCTGTGGGGGCGCATTAGGGCGTTGTAAGACCTCTCCCCCCATCCGGTCTAAAAGAATCAGGCCTTCATTTTATTTATGTTAGGATGAGGTTCTCCTCCCGTTCCTAACATAACCTTGTTTTAATTGTTTGAAAGGGTTATCCCCAGTCGTAACAAATCCATGCCAAATGGGAGGAACATGCAAAGTCGAAAGGAATTTAGATTCAAGGCAAGGTCGTAAGCGATACATTTACAGGTTTCCCGAGTTCCATGGTCGTGGAAGGTCTGCTCCTCCTTGAGGCCCTCCGGTGATGGAGTCGATGGTCCCAATTGGAGGCCGATCTCCAGGCTGCTCCTCCCTCCTTGGCGGTTTAGGTTGCGGCAGGGTCCTTGGCCGATCTTCTCTACCCTCAGGCCGGCGTCGGATGAACCTGTCGAGTCGACCTCGCCGGATGAGCTCCTCGATCTCGTCTCAAAGCTGGATGCATTCCTCCATGTCGTGGCCGTGGTCGTGGTGGTAGAGACAGAACTTGTTGAGGTTGCGCTTCCCAAGGTGTGTGCGCATCCTCTCTGGCCTAGGGAGCTGCTCCCTGACCTCCATCGGTACCTGGGTCTTCGAGGCATTGAGGGGGGCGTAGTTGCAGAATCTTCCCGGTGGAGAACCCCGCCGAACTCCGTGATTCAGACTTCTCTGCCTACGTACCCGGGGCAGAGTATGGGCACGCTTGTGCCCAGGAGGGGATCGAGAACGCGGCTGAGCTTCTCTCGACCTTTTTCCGACTGCGGGCTTACTCGAGTCTCCCGCCTGCCGCTCCCTCGCGGTCTCCTCATCCTTCATTTTGAAGGCTTCTTCCGCTCGGACGTACCCTTCAGCCCGAGCCAACAAATCAGCAAAATCCCTAGGGTATTTCTTCTCCAGGGAGAACAAAAGGTCATTCTTCTGAAGGCCGCCCTTCAGAGCGGCCATTGCTACCGATTGGTCCAAATTCCAGACCTCCAGCACTGCGACATTGAAGCGGTTGATGTAGGCCCGAATGGACTCTCCCTCTCTCTGCCTGATATTCATGAGGAACTCCGAGCCCTTCCGAGGGCACCGGCTGCTGACAAAATGGGCCACGAATTGATGGCTCATTTGATCGAAGGAAAAGATGGTACCCGACTTCAGCGTCGAGTACCAGTTTCTCGCCGCTCCCTTCAAGGTGGATGGGAAGGCCCGGCACAAGATGGTGTCTGGTGCGCCATGAAGTAGCATCATCGTCCGGAAGGCTTCCAGATGATCGACCGGGTCTGAAGTCCCGTCGTAGCTTTCGAACTGGGAGAGTTTGAAGTTTGGCGGGATCAGTTCCTGCATGATCATTTAAGAAAAGGGGGGTCAGTGCAAATATCCTCACCATAAGCGGGGGGAACGTGGCAGAGTTCTTCGATTCGCCGATTCATTTCCTGGAGCCTCCGATCCAGGAAATCCTCTCGACTTCGGGTCTCGAGGGTTCTCTGGCAGAATGGGGGCAGGGATCTTCCAGGGGAAGAGTCATGATCCGATTGAGGGCTCTCCACCTTCGGGTTCGTCTTTCCGAAAAAGACGGGACGACTGGCCCAAGTGGCCCGCCCCACTGTCGGATTCTGGCATTCCGGTGACACCCTTTCCAGGTGCACTGATGCTTGCGGCTGCTGCTGCTGCATGGCCTGTACGGCCTCAGTGAGGCCTCTGACCTGCTGCACCAGCAGATCAAATTGCTTCGCACCGACCGCCGTCGTCGGAGGAGGAGGAGGAGGCTGGAAAACTGGAGGTGAGGCCGGAGCCTGAGATCTGGCCGCGGAGGCCATGGATCATCGTGTGGATGCCTTGCGGGGAGGCATCGGGCAAAGACCAAGTAAAGGAGGGAGGAGAGGACGTCGGAAAAGATGCCCGGGGGCGGTCCCGTTGAGCACCCCTTTAAGAACAAGGGTACTGCGAAGACACAGCCCTTCCTCTAGCGCCAATCCTGTTGGTGCAAAAATCCGCTTACGTCAGAGAAGCTGGAGTCGCGGTCGCCGTCGGGACTTGCAAAAGAAGTCTAAACCGGAGGTGATGTGCTCC